AGCTGGCAGCAGGGGTGTCTGGAGCTAGGGGAGGAATGGTGGTAGATGGTATCTGGGTGTCCCCAGGAGGGATTGGGGGGCTTAGGGTGTTGGGGGACCCTGGAGGAAGGGAGGGAAGGGGGGAATGCAGACCCTGGAGAGATGGGGAGATGGGGACCCTTGGGGGGATCCCAGAGGGATGGGGAGGCTGGTGACCGTGGGGGGAGGGCAGAACAGGAGTGCAGGGGACCCTGAAGGGGGGATTGAGGGGATCCTGGAGGGATGTTGGGGATGGGCGGGTGGGGGGGCTGGAGACCCTGAAGGGAGGGCTGGGGACCCCAGAGGGATGGAGGCATGGGGACGTCTGGGGGAGGGAAGGACGGAATGGCTGGGGACCCTGGAGGGGGGATATTGGGGATTCCCCGGGCGGGCTAGGGACCTGGAGGGAAGGCAGAACGGGAGTGCAGGGGACCCTGAAGGATTGGGGGGATCCTGGGGGGGTGGGGAGCCCAGAGGGATGGGAACTGGAGACCCTGAAGGGAGAGCTGGGGGCATGGGGACCCCGGGGGGGCGGGAAGGACAGAGGGCTGGGGATCCTGGAGGGGGATGTTGAGGGATCCTGGTGGGGGCGGGGGGCCTGGGGACCCTGGAGGGATGGTAGTTGGGAGTGAGGGTGCCGGGGGCACTGGGGTCCCTGGGGGATGGGGACCCCGGATAGGAGGATGGGGGCCTGGGGAACCCAGGGGGATGGGGGATGGGGGACCCCGGCCGCTCCTCCCCCCCTTCCTTTCCCTGAGTTGCATCAGGTTCCTTTTATGTGGCCGCGGCTGGCCGGACGCTCCGCGAGTCAGTGACCAGAGCGGTCCCATGACTCAGGCCCGCGGGGCGGGGGGACCCTGCCCGGGGGGATAAATAGGTGCCCAGGGGACCCGCCGGGCTCAGAAAAACAGGAGCAGCCAGAGACGGGACCCCCTCGCACGTCCCCCTCACTGACCTGCCAAGGAAACACAACTCACCCCCACTGGACTGCCTGCTGCGGCTTGGAGCATTGCTACTGTCGGACTCCTGGGTTCTCTCGCCGGCTCTCGGAGAGGAGTGAGGTCTAGTGGTTAGAGCGGACGGGGGCGCCAGGACGCCTGGGTTCTCTCCCTGGTTTGGGCTCAGATCCGGCACTGCCTGTCAGCCCTCGGCATGTGGGGTAGCTCGACCCCCGTCCCAGCGGAGTCCTGGCTGCTGCTGGCTGCCCTGATGTGGGGGACCCGGCCCCCCGCTCCCTCCCAGGCCGCCCCCCTGCAGAACTCCAGCCCCCTGTACCAGTTCGACGGGCAGGTTCGGCTCCGACACCTGTACACAGCTAACACCCACACGCAGCTGTACCTGGAGATCACCCCGCAGGGCGAGGTGCGCGGGGCCCCCGACCAGACCCCCTACAGTGAGTACTGGTGGGTGATGGCGATGGGCGGGGGGAGGGCAGTTGCGAACCAGGACTCCTGGGTTCTCTCCCTGGCTCTGGGAAGGTCTAGTGGTTAGAACGGGGGAGGGCTGGGAGCCAGGACTCCTGGGTTCTGTCACAGGCTCTGGGAGGGGAGTGGGGTTGAGTGGTTAGAGTGTGGCGGGGGCTGGGAGCCAAGACTCCTGCCTGGCTCTGGGAGGGGAGTGGGGTCTAGTTGGTTAGAGCAGAGGAGCGGGGCTAGGAGCCCGGACCCCTGGGTTCCCTTGCTGACTTTGCTCTGCCTCGGGTGCTGCAGGTCTGATGGAGATTAAGGCGGTGAAGCCTGGTGTGATCCGGATGCAAGGGATGAAAACGCTCCTGTTTCTGTGCATGGATCCCAGCGGGCATCTGCATGGGGCGGTGAGTGGAACCCCGGCAGCAGGGGGCAGGGATAGGGTCTGGGGGGGTTAGCTAGATGGGAGAGGGGGACACACAGCCAACCAAAGGGCCCCTCCAGCCCTGCATCTCTCCCCCTCCCTGCCATCCTGCCTCTGCGAGGGGCGGGGGGGTCTAGTGGTTAGAGCAAGGGGGGCTGGGAGTCAGGACTCCTGGGTTCTCTCCCCAGCTCTTGGAGGGGAGTGGGGTCTAGTGGTTAGATCGGGGGGGGGGGGGGCTGTGTCACGGCACAGGCTGGGAGCCAGGACACTTGGGTTCTCTCCCCGGCTCTGGGAGGGGAGTGAGGTCTAATGCTTAGAGCAGGGAGGGGCCTCAGACACAGCTGCTCACCTGCACCCCTATAATCTCCCCCGCAGAGCTCATACTCGGAGGCTTGTAATTTCCAGGAGAAGGTTCAGCGCGATGGGTACAACCTCTACTTCTCTGAGACCCGCAACATCCCTGTCAGCCTGAGGCCTGCGGAGGGGCCCCCTGGGGGCCGGGGGCACCCGGCCCCCCGTCTCTTCCACTTCCTGCCCATGGTCAGCCGGGTGCCGGTGGAGCCCGTCCTGCTGGAATACGACTTCTACGGCGACCCGCCACTGGATGTGGAGTCCTCCGACCCCCTCAGCATGATGGGCCGCCTCTCCCGGGTCCTGAGCCCCAGCTACATCTTCTGAGAGCCGGGACTCCTGGGTCCCCTGCCCGGCTCAGGGAGGGGAGCGGGGTCTAGTGGTTAGAGCAGGGGGCGCTGGGAGGCAGGACTCCTGGGTTCTCTCCCTGGCTCCGGGACTGATTTCCCCTGGACTGGGACCTATGGACGCCAGCGCTGAGTAGACTGATGCAGACAGTGGTCCGTGAGACGCAGCGCCATCGGTCCTACGGGCCGATTCCCACCAGCCATATTTGGTTCCAATTTTTTTACGTATTTAATAACTTATTTATTAGCCAGATGGGTTTATTTATTGAGCGGGTTCGTGGAATCCGTGGCTGGCTGGGGCAGGCGGGCAAGGGGATTCCTGCTATTTATTGGGGCATCGTTCCAAGACTGGCTATTTATTGTGGGGTCCGTGGCGGCTTCGTGGCCAATGGCTTGAGAATAAAGAACTGGTGTGAGCCAAACCCGCCCTGGGTGACCTGGTCTCTGTGGGGGGAGGGGTACGATTTCTGGGTTGATACAAAGTCCGGGGCTGGAAAAGGGAGTTTGGGGAAGGACGAACCGGTGGAAATGAGGCCGGGGGCATGACCGAAAGCGAGTCCGGGGACCCAACTGGTGCAGTGTGGCACAGCGCCCCCTAGTGCCACCCAGCGGCCCCTGCTGAGCCCCCCCACCCTGCTCCCTGCAGCCCAGCGCCGCCTTGGGGCATTGCGGCCAGCCCTGACCACGAGGGGAGAGCGCCTCCTGCTGATCCTGTCTTCTCCCTACACGCAGCAGCCAGCTGGGAGAGTGCGGGACACTTACACACATGCTGCTGCCTCCGTATTGCCCCAGCCGCCCCACTCGGCCGTGCGGGGGGGGGGGGGGGGAGCGACAGGCTGACGGCCCGGGAGGGCCCAGAGAGCTGAGAGCCGCCTGTGAGCAGATTCCCTGCTTCGTAACAGCGAGAGCCTGGGGAGCGAGAGGTGGAGGCTATGCGGCTAGCTAGTGGGGGCTATGGGGTTAGATGGGGGGCTAGGGGGCTAGCTAGTGGGGGCTATGATGTTAGATGGGGGGCTAGGGGGATAGCTAGTGGGGGCTATGGGGATAGTTAGAGGGGGCTATGGGGGTAGATGGGAGCTATGGGGCTAGCTAGAGGGGGCTATGGAGATAGATGTGGGGCCATGGGGATAGTTAGAGGGGGGTATGGGGCTATCTGGGGGGCTATGGGGTAGCTAGTGGGGGCTATGGGGTTAGATGGGGGCTATGGGATAATTAGAGGGGGCTATGGGGCTAAATGGGAGCTATGGGGCTAGCTAGAGTGGGCTATGGGGTGAGCTAGAGGGGGCTATGGGGATAATAAGAGGTTACGGGGATAGAGGGGGGCTATGGGGATAGCTGGGGGGCTATGGGGATAGATGGGGGTATGGGTATAGCTAGCTGGGGGCTATGGGGATAGATGGGGCTATGGGGGTAGCTAACTGGGGGCTAGGGGGTATTTGGGGTGGCTATGGGGGTAGCTAGATGACAGATGACTGCAGGGGATAGCTGGGTAGAGCTTGGTCACTTTGGCCACTAGGGGTCAGTGTCCCCCACTGCATGGCACCCCCTGCCCGGCTGCCCGGGGCCCATCTGGGTTCTGAGCCAAGGGGGTGGCTATGTAGGGGGCTGAGAAGCAGCTGCTAGGCAAGACCTCGATGCCCCCCCCCTTTGTGCGGGGCTCCCCACAGCGAGGTTACCAGCTGGTCTTGAACTCAGCTCCCATGGAGTCACCCCCATCCTGGGTGGAAAATGGGGTCAGGGCCGGGTTAGCAGGGGGCTGCGGGTCAGGAGTGAGGGGCACTGGCAGGGCTGCGGGGGTGGGAGTGGGAGGGGTATCAGTGCTAGGATGGGGGTGGAGTTTGCTTGTTCAAAGCTCCTCCTTCGCAATTCCTCACAAGCATCGGGGCCAGCCCTGCCGGCCATAGGGAAGAGCCCCCTGTGAGCCGCCCACCCCCTGCTGCAGCCCAGCACCCCCTAGCGCTGCTCTGGGTCTGGGCATGTCCCTGTCCATCTCTCATGGAGATCCCCCAGCCCTCAGACAGTCCCAGTGTCACCCCTCTCCCTGATAATGCAGCGCTGGGCGTCTGGGGCCCGACTGTCTCACTGCTGACCCATAATCAGATGCCAGAGTGGGGAGAGTGGAGCCAGACTAGGGGGCAGGCAAGCAGAGTGTGGGACATGGAGCCTTTTCCTTTCTGGCTGCACCTATTCAAGCCCGCCCAATTCTCAACTCTAACACACTAGATCCCCGAGCCAGGGATAGAACCCAGGAGTCCTGGCTCCCCCTCCTCCCGCTCTAACCATTCAACACTGGGGAAGGGGACGGTCCCATCACTTGGGAAGTTCCTATGAGAAGACCACTTGTAGGTCATTGGCTTCTTGTGACGAAGTGGGACTGTTCTTAATGTTTTCTCTGAATAGTGTGGGGGTGCCTCAGTTTCCCCTAGACAGTTCTTAAGTATCTAGGTGGTGCGATAAGGGTGTATGATCATTGCAGAGCCCTAGAGGGCAGGTGTGTGCAGGGGGCTGGACACAGAGAATGGCCAGCACCCTGTTTCCTGGCAACTGATGGCCTGGGCCCTTCCCCCCTGCAAGGTGAGAGCTAAAGGGTTGGAGAACAAAGGAATCCGGTGCCCTCCTGGCCCGCGAAAAGGGACAAAGCCCAGAGGAGGGGGTTGGGGGGCTGGAGGAAGTGTCAGTTTGGGGCTGGCTGGAGACATGGAGTGAAGGGCAGACGTGGTTGTCTGGCTCACTGCCCCCCAAAATGGACCCAGCTGAGGGGTCCTGTTCTCTGCACCTGCAAGCTGTGGTTTAGACCATGTTCCTGTCGTCTAATAAACCTCTGTTTTACTGGCTGGCTGAGAGTCCTGTCTGACTGCGGAGTTGGGGGGCAGGACCCTCTGGCTTCCCCAGGACCCCGCCTGGGCAGACTCACTGGGGGAAGCGCACAGAGGGGCAGAGGAGGCTGAATGCTCCGAGGTCAGACCCAGGAAGGTGGAAGCCGTGTGAGCTGTGTGTCCTGCAGACAGGCTGCTCCCAGAGAAGAGACTTCCCCAGAGTCCTGACTGGCTTCATGGGGAGCAGTTCCAGAGCATCGCCCAGGGACTCCGTGACACTTCTCCATATGCCACGCATCCTGGCCAGGGGATCTTAGGCATCCAATCCCAGACTGACTGGACCCATTACAGTGGGTGGATCCTGCTGACAACCCAGCCAGGTACCGGTTGGCCTCCTCCTTGATGTGGTTGTGGAAGGAGAATTCCTGGAGGATCTCCTATTGGAGACGGAGGTAGAAGGTCCAGGACCAGGGGTAGCCCATGAGCCAGACATATCTGCTTGTGGAGGCACCTGTCCTTCTCTGACATCCAGTTGTGTAGCCTGTTGTCTTCCCCTGGGACCCTCTGGACCACGTCGCCGGAGAGCACGGCCAGGATGATGCGGAAGAGCGACACCAGCTCCTGGTGCCTCTCCGGGAGAATGTAGGCCTGGGGCTCATTCACCTTGGCCAGGGCATAGAGGGTGGCATGTTCCTCCCTTTGGTTCCCCCGGTGCCCAAAGGAGTTGACAGTCCACATGCCTTGTTCCATTTTGGTAGCTGTGATGGATGGATGGGAGCATTGGGTGGAAGGATGGATGAATGAGAACAAAGGGTGCAGGGATGGATGGAATGGAAGGTGGGCTGGGTGGAGGGATGGATGGATGGATGGATGAGGACATTGGGTGAAGGGATGGATGAATGAATGAGGACGTTGGGTGGAGGGATGGATGGATGAGGACATTGGATGGATGGATGGATGGATGGATGGATGAGGACATTGGGTGAAGGGATGGATGAATGGATGAGGATGTTGGGTGGAGGGATGGATGGATGGATGGATGAGGCTGTTGGGTGGAGGGATGGATAGATGAGGACGTTGGGTGGAGGGATGGCCGGTTGAGGACATTGGATGGATGGATGGATGAGGACATTGTGGATGGATGGATGGATGGATGGATGGATGAGGATGTTAGATGGATGGATGGGTGGATGAATGGAGGGGTAGAGGGCTGGGGGTGGGGATGGATGGATGAAGAGACAGACAGATGGATGGATAGATGGATAGAGGGCTGGGGGTGGTGAGAGATGGGGGGATGGGAGTGGGGACAGGTGGATGGCGGCTGGAGGAGTCGGTATCTTTGGTCAGAGAGGGGCCAGGACAGTTTCTAGGTGGGGAATCTCCCTCCCTTTCACCTTGGTGAGGTGAGATTTGGGACCAGGCTGCTTCCTCCTGCTCCCATCTGGGTTCCCTGGGGTGGCTCCAGCTGCAAATATTTGCTGCAAATATATAACAGTGGTGGCAACAGTGATCTATACGGTTACAGATTATGTTAATAATGTCACACACCCCTTCCCCTGAGGCCCCGTCCCAGGCCCCACCCCTTCCTCCTGAGGCCCCACCCCCTGTTCGCTCCGCCTTCCTTCTCCCTCCATCGATCACTGCTTTGCCTCTCCCTGGGTGGGTCGAGGGGGACTCACCTGCAGAGCTGGGCCTGGGAACTGCCGCCCTTCCGATGTGGCTGTGCTGGCAAGTGGGGCTTGCTAATACCCTGGGGGGAGCTCTGGGGGGCTTGGGTACGTCACCCTGCCTAGCGTGTCTAACATGTCACCAAAAGCTTCCTGACGCTCCCCCCCACCTCGTGCCCAGAATTTATGCGTTAGACATTTTGTATAGCGAGCAGAGTTTTTAAATAACTTCTCACTTTACTTGACCTATTTGCTGGTGGGAGCCAGAGGACTGGGCTCCAGTAAATGGGGCTGGGTGATTTCTTTTTTCCAGCTGCTGCATAACTAGGGTTGGGGATCAGGAGCCCAGCTGGTGACTGGTTGGTGAATCTAACCACAGTTTGCTGTAGTGAAGTGAGCTGTAGCTCACGAAAGCTTATGCTCAAATAAATTGGTTAGTCTCTAAGGTGCTTTTTTTCTAACCACAGTGTTAACCTCCAGGTTTGGGAGAATCCGCGCGCCTGTTTGCAGTCTGCCCTGCACTTGGCATTTTCGGTGTGGGCCACCCGAGGCACCTCGGCTCACAACAGATCAGTAATAAACAGGGGCCTCGAGACAGCAATGGAGGGATGGAAGTGGCCGGAGACAAAGCAAATTTGCATTTCAGCAGAGATGAGGGAGAAGAAAGAGCCTGGGGCCAGACGTCTCCACCTTGACCGCTCGAATCAATGTTGCTTTGAGGGGGAACCCTCACAAAAATCCACTCCAGAGGACAACTGGGCTATAAAAGGGAGGGGCACACGTTCCCCCCCCCCCAAAGCAGCTCTCCTTCTCGTGCTGTTTTCATCTAAGATGACAAATAAACCTGCCCGTTGACCCAGCCTGTGGATCTGAGGACCTGGGGTGAGGATCTGACCTGGACCCCAACCTGGCTTGCTAAGGGTCAGCTCCGAGGAAGCGTTTTTATCATTTGTTCTGACTTGAACACCTGACACTTGTGCTCACTCAAACCCGGCCTCCACCACGTGAAAGAAATGTGTGTTTCTCCAGCTCAGGCAAGCCTGAGCTGCATTTAAACTGAGCGGGTTGGGGGAACTCCAGTTAAAGTAGCAAACGGTCGCATACGGATCCCTGATGGGAAAACAGGCCTTTCATATCGGGACTGGCCAGGAGAGGGCTGGAAGGTGCAGGTCACATGATCTGGGGAAAATCCGGGACAGGGCGGGTGTCGGGGTCACCCCACAGGTGCCAACCCAGGCTGGTGGAAGCCACAGCGTGGCTGGGGACATGCGCTGGTAGGCTGGTTGTGAGTGACCCAGGTCGGGAGAGCCCGGGGCTATGGGACAGGCGGTGCCGCGGCCCTTTGCTGGTTCGGGTTGCAACCCGGGAGCGTGACTCTACGTCTTGTCCACACAATTCCCGGCTGGGGTTGACGAGGCGGCCACGGGTTGCTGCCCGGTGCAACACCATCAACAGCAGCCCGGCAAGGGCTCGTGACCCGATCCACCCTTGCCGGGCCTCAAGACGCTGGCCCCTGTGTTAATTAACCCCAAAGTAACACTCGGAGCCCCTGCAGCCGCAGCTGTCCCAGAGGCAGATTTCTCCCTGGCTGCTCTGGTGAGCAGAGCTTGCTAATACTCTGGGGGGGCTTGGGTTCGTGTCCCTGTCTAGCGTGTCTAACATATAAATTCTGGGCCCGGGGGAATGGGGCAACCTTAAGCTTTCGGTGCTCGACACCAAACCTCCAGGGCACACCCAGTCCAGGAGCTGTAACCATATCCTCATGGCCAAATACTGCGAGCGCCCCGTAACCGCTGGCTTTGCAGCTGCAGGGGACTTTTCAGCGTTCTCCGGCACGACATTCCCAAGAGTTTCCAGCTGCTCTGCACGGCCCATCGGCTTCCCAGGGGAAATATTCTTATGAGTGGCAATACGATGTCACTGGAATATGCTTTATGCACAAGGTCTCTTGTAAGGTATCATTACAAAGCTCAGGATCTACTGAGTGTGGTCATCCCATTTGTTTGAATGTATCATTCTTGTATCTGAAACTAGAAATATGAAGTTAACTCTGAGGTCGGTGTCACAGAGTCCCCGGGCGATGCTCTGGAACTGCTCCCCGTGAAGCCAGGCAGGACTCTGGGGAAGTCTCCTTTCTGGGAGCAGCCTGTCTGCAGGACACACAGCTCCCCCGGCTCCACCTTCCTGGGTCTGACCTTGGAGCATTCAGCCTCTCCTGCCCCTCCGTGTGCTTCCCCCAGCGAGTCCGCTCAGGTGGGGTCCTGGGGAAGCCAGAGGGTCCTGCCCCCCAAGTCCGCAGTCAGACAGGACTCTCAGCCAGCCAGTAAAACAGAGGTTTATTAGATGACAGGAACATGGTCTAAACCACAGCTTGCAGGTGCAGAGAACAGGACTCCTCAGCTGGGTCCATTTTGGGGGGCAGTGAGCCAGACAACCACGTCTGCCCTTCACTCCATGTCCCAGCCAGCCCCCAACTGAAACTCCCTCCAGCCCCTCCTCCTCTGGGCTTTCCCCTTTCCCGGGCCAGGAGGTCACCGGATTCCTTTGTTCTCCAACCCTTTAGCTCTCACCTTGCAGGGGGGAAGGGCCCAGGCCATCCGTTGCCAGGAAACAGGGTGTCGGCCATTCTCTGTGTCCAGACCCCTGCATACACCTGCCCTCTAGGGCTCTGCAAAGATCATACACCCTTATCCCACCCCCTAGATACTTAAGAACTGCCTAGGGGAAACTGAGGCACCCCCACACTATTCAGAGGAAACATTAAGAACAGTCCCACTTTGTCACAGTCGGCTTGTAACTATGCAAAGTCTGGGCCATTAATGGTGGCTTGGAATCCTGATGGCTCCTGTTGACGAGGACAATTGGTGGTGGATGGCTCTGTTTACTTGCAAGCCTCCACTGCATAGACACGGGTCAGTCCTGGAGGAATGGAGGGGGGCTCACAGGACATGTGGCCATGGCACCTGACCCTGGAATCCATGTTTAACCTGGTGCTTTTCCACTTAGAAGGAGGGGTGGGGACCCAGAGAGAGACAAAGGATTCCCGCCTTGTGCCAAAGCTACGTAAGTCCCAGTCTTATTAATCTCTCCTCATACGGAAGCCGTCCCACACCCCTGATTCACCTTTTCTGAACCTTTTCCAATGCCACAAGATCATTTTCGAGATGGGGCGACCACATCTGCAGTCATTTAAGGTGTCGAGAAACTTTGTCTCTGCATCCCATCCTGAGGTGATGCTTGTGTGATGAAGTGGGACTGTTCTTAATGTTTCCTCTGAATAGTGTGGGGGGGTGCCTCAGTTTCCCCTAGGCAGTTCTTAAGTATCTAGGGGGTGGAGTAAGGGTGTATGATCATTGCAGAGCCTAGAGGGCAGGTGTGTGCAGGGGTCTGGACACAGAGAATGGCCGACACCCTGTTTCCTGGCAACTGATGGCCTGGGCCCTTCCCCCCCTGCAAGGTGAGAAGCTGAAGGGTTGGAGAACAAAGGAATCCGGTGACCTCCTGGCCCGGGAAAGGAACAAAGCCCAGAGGAGGAGGGGCTGGAGGGAGTTTTCAGTTTGGGGCTGGCTGGGACATGGAGTGAAGGGCAGACGTGGTTGTCTGGCTCACTGCCCCCCAAAATGGACCCAGCTGAGGGGTCCCGTTCTCTGCACCTGCAAGCTCTGTTTTAGACCATGTTCCTGTCGTCTAATAAACCTTCTGTTTTACTGGCTGGCTGAGAGTCCTGTCTGACTGCGGAGTTGGGGTGCAGGACCCTCTGGTTCCCCAGGAGCCCCGCCTGAGCGGACTCGCTGGGGGGAAGCGCTCGGAGGGGCAGAGGATGCTGAATGCTCCGAGGTCAGACCCAGGAAGGTGGAGCCGGGGGAGCTGTGTGTCCTGAAGACAGGCTGCTCACAGAAAGGCGACTGCCCCAGAGTCCTGACTGGCTTCATGGGGAGCAGTTCCAGAGCATCGCCCAGGGACTCCGTGACAGCTTGTATGCTTGTGTCGGGCTACTTGTCGTGTGGGAAGGATGGATAGGTCCCAAAGTAACGAATCAAGTAAAGAGCTGCAGAAACAAAATGGAAATTCTCTCCAGAGAAAGAAGCCCCAAACCTTCCCACTGGTCGGCTGGTAATCAAGGATTGCAGGGGGTTAGAGAAGGCCTCAGAGGAAGGGAAGTAGCCAGGATAAACCTCTTCAAACTGGGTTTTTGCTAAGGCCAGCAAGTTCGCTAACAGGTATAAAGAGAGAGCCAGGAACCTGAAGGCACTTTGTCAGATCCTGCCTGATCACGCTGGAACACTCCCTATGAACATCTCCTCCCTCAGGCTGGCCAGGTTGTAAGTGCCCTGATCACGGGCATGTAACTAGCTTATCCACACAGGTAATTTACGGCACAGAAATGTTCTCGCTCAGGGGGGTGAAAACACACACACACACACTCCGAGCGCAGTGAGTTGCAAACAAATAACCCAGTCCCATTGAATCCCCTGCTTTTAACAAATAACCCAGCCACCAAGCGGCCGGCCCTGGGCTGGATCTTGTATGCCGGCACGTCCCACTCCGTTGGGGACGGCAAGCCGTGGCCTTCCGGGAGTAGCCAGTGTCCAGGGCTGGGTAACTTCAAAGGGGCTGGGGGGCTGGGCAGCACCGAGGGGTAACCTGCAGCGGCAGGGCCCGGCGAGGCCTGGCCGAGCCCGGGGCTAGGAACAGGGTTTGGATGACAGCTGCTAAGCCCACAGTCCTGGGAGAACCGGTATGGCTCCGGCTCCCTCTGACCCTGCTGCGGCACCCAGTTATTTCCTCTTCCTCTTACCAGCATTCAGACCTTAGATCCAGCCAGCTGTCTTGGGTGGGACACTCTGCCTGTTGTCACCCCCCCCCCCCCGCCTCCCCCAGGGGCACAGAGACTAAGGCTTGCTTTGTCAGGGAGGAAGGCTGGGGGTTGGGTCTGAGGAGGAAATAGGGGAGCCAGGACTCCTGGGTTCTCTCCCTGGCTCTGGGAGGGGAGTGGGATCTAGTGGTTAGAGCAGGGTGGGGCTGGGAGCTAGGACTCCTGGGTTCTGTCCCCGACTCAGAGACCCTGTGTCAATATCTACCCCACCCCTCGAAAATGGACAGAGAGAGAGACTGGATAAGGAGGGTGTGACGAAGTGGGACTGTTCTTAATGTTTCCTCTGAATAGTGTGGGGGTGCCTCAGTTTCCCCTAGGCAGTTCTTAAGTATCTAGGGGGTGGAGTAAGGGTGTATGATCATTGCAGAGCCCTAGAGGGCAGGTGTGTGCAGGGGTCTGGACACAGAGAATGGCCGACACCCTGTTTCCTGGCAGCTGATGGCCTGGGCCCTGCCCCCCCCTGCAAGGTGAGAGCTGAAGGGTTGGAGAACAAAGGAATCAGGTGACCACCTGGCCCAGGAAAGGGACAAAGCCCAGAGGAGGGGCTGGAGGGGGTTTTTCAGTTTGGGGCTGGCTGGGACATGGAGTGAAGTGCAGACGTGGTTGTCTGGCTCACTGCCCCCCAAAATGGACCCAGCTGAGGGGTCCCGTTCTCTGCACCTGCAAGCTCTGTTTTAGACCATGTTCCTGTCGTCTAATAAACCTTCTGTTTTACTGGCTGGCTGAGAGTCACGTCTGACTGCGAAGTTGGGGTGCAGGACCCTCTGGCTTCCCCAGGAGCCCCGCCTGAGCGGACTCGCTGGGGGAAGCGCACGGAGGGGCAGGGGAGGCTGAATGCTCCGAGGTCAGACCCAGGAAGGTGAAGCCGGGTGAGCTTTGTGTCCTGAAGACAGGCTGCTCACAGAAAGGCGACTGCCCCAGAGTCCTGACTGGCTTCATGGGGAGCAGTTCCAGAGCATCGCCCAGGGACTCCGTGACAGAGGGATACTCTGATCTGTTCCCTTAGGGACCCCACTCTGCTGGCGCCCCTCACTCCCGACCCGCAGCCCCCTGCTAGCCCAGCCCTGGCTTCACCCCAACCCTCCCTCCACTTTTCTGTGCTGACAATCTGAATTCAGGGGCGCAGGTGGGAGCCCAGGGCTGGATTAGCAGGGGGCTGTGGGGCGGGACTGAAGAGCAAAGGTCAATGTACCTGACTTGTTTCCTTCTGGGTTCGTGCCAGGCCCTTAGAGAATTTTGATGTGCGTGATGCCATTGCAGCTGTAGGGAGCGGTGAGACGGGGTCCGGGTGTGCTGGAAAAGTGACAGTCCTGGCTTGTCAAGTCCTTCACTGCATGGCACATCCACCACCTCTGAGCCCTGGGGGGGAGCTCCCACCCCCGCCTGCTCTAATCACTAGACCCTGCTCCCCTCCCAGAGCTGGGGAGAGAACCCAGGTGTCCTGGCTCCCAGCTCCCCCTCCACTCCCCTCCCAGAGCCAAGGAGAGAACCCAGGCGTCCTGGCTCCCAGCTCCCCCTCCACTCCCCTCCCAGAGCTGAGGAGAGAACCCAGGCGTCCTGGCCCGCCTATTTCATGAAGAGATCTACTCCCACACCTAGTTCCTCACCCTCCCTGCCTGGCATGGCATGCCCCAGAGTGCCCCAGGCCCTGTGCTGGGGAGAGGCAGGCAGGGCTAGGCAGGCCCAGGGGCAGCTGGCTGGACTAATGTTTAAGCGCTGATAAGAGCACAACTGAAAATAATCGGCTGACGCAGAGTCAGAGGGAGCTGGAGCCGGAGCCGGAGCTGGAGCCTTGCTGGGGAGAGCAGGCGGGAGCGGCCGACCCTGGTGCCCACCTCACCAAGGTAAGAAGGGGAGAGATCCCCTGCCTAGAAACTGTCCTGGCCTGTCTCTGACCAAAGATATGGAGCCTCCTGGCTGGCTGGCTCCACCCCCAGCCCTGTATCAACCCACCTACCCACCCACCCTTTCCCCTCCCCAACCCAGTATCTACTCGTCCATCCATCCATACCTCCATCCATCCATCCATCCATCCATCCCCAAACCCAACTCTCTGTCTACCACTCCATCCATCCACCCTCAACCCTCTATCTATCCCTCCATCCATTCTTCCCCAGACCCAGCCCTCCATCTAACTCTCGAACCTGCTGTCCTTCCCCATCCACCCATCCGTCCATCCCCAGACCCAACCCTGTCTACCCCTCCATCCATCCTTAACCTTCTATCTATCTACTCATCCATCCATCCACCCACCCACCCATCCATCCATCAATCTACCCATGGTTAATCGATCATATATATACAAATGATTGCAAAGTCCTTGTATCAGGTTTGTAACAGTGATGTTGCAGGCTGCTGGCTTGTAAAATCTCTCTGGTAATCTCCAAAAGATTGGCAGGTCCTCAGTCCATAATTCAAGACACTCCTTTCAGTTGTAAATCCATGCTCCAGAGAATCAAAGCAGGAAAGAGGCAACATGGAGACATCTCGGGCATCTTTTTATCTCCTCTGCCAGGTGCACAGAAATGCCTCCTCTCTCAGAGCAGACTGTCACCAGGGAAAGAAGCTTACACAGCTTCGACCTTCCTGGGTCTGATCTCAGAGCATTCAGCATTCCCTTCTCGCACCGTGCACTTCCCACAGCAAGTCCTCCCGGGCGGGGCTCCTGGGGAAGCCAGAGGGTCCTGCCCCCCAACTCCGCAGTTAGACGTGACTCTCAGCCAGCCGGTAAAACAGAAGATTTATTAGTCGACAGCAACACAGAGTAGAACAGAGCTTGCTATCACAGAAATCAGTGACTTTCAGCCAAGTCCATCTTGGAGTCCTGGGCCAAACGCCCTGGACTCCCCTTCTTCCAGTCCCCACAAGCAGACTGCCAGCTTCCAGTGACCCAACCTCAGACACCCCCTGTCATAAATATAAAGGGAAGGGTAAACACCTTTAAAATCCCTCCTGGCCAGAGGAAAAATCCTTTCACCTGTAAAGGGTTAAAAAGCTAGGATAACCTCGCTGGCACCTGCCCAAAATGACCAATGAGGAGACAAGATACTTTCAAAGCTGGGGGAGGGGGGGGGGAGAAACAAAAGCTCTCTCTGTCTGTGTGATGCTTTTGCCGGGGACAGAACAGGAATGGAGTCTTAGAACTTAGTAAGTAATCTAGCTAGAGATGCGTTTGATTATGATTTCTTTAAATGGCTGAGAAAATAAGCTGTGCTGAATGGAATGGATATTCCTGTTTTTGTGTCTTTTTGTAATGTAAGGTTTTGCCTAGAGGGATTCTCTATGTTTTGAATCTGATTACCCTGTAAGGTATTTACCATCCTGATTTTACAGAGGTGATTCTTTTACTTTTTTTCTTCTATTAAAATTCTTCTTTTAAGAACCTGATTGCTTTTTCATTGTTCTTAAGATCCAAGGGTTTGGGTCTATGGTCACCTATGCAAATTGGTGAGGATTTTTATCAAGCCTTCCCCAGGAAAGGGGATGTAAAGGTAAGGGAGGATTTTGGGGGGAAAGACATTTCCAAACGGGCTCTTTCCTAATAATAATAATACTGGTTAGACGTTTGGTGGTGGCAGCGAAAGTCCAAGGGCAAAGAGTAAAATAGTTTGTACCTTGGGGAAGTTTTAACCTAAGCTGGTAAAAGTAAGCTTAGGAGGTTTTCATGCAGGTTCCCACATCTGTACCCTAGCGTTCAGAGTGGGGAAGGAACCTTGACATGGTGGCAGAATGGTGGGATTAACTTGAAATCATTTTGAGATCAATGTGAGATTTTTTGAACCAGAAACACAGATTTTAAAAGGGAATTTTTTTCCCCTTTGGGCTGCTGGAAAGCAGGTTTCCAACTGGAAGCAGTTGGGTTTTTTTTCTCTGCTTGGAGCCAGAGCAGAGACAAAAGGGAATTGTCTTTTGTGAGCTGGAGTTTTCTCTACCTAAAGGCAGGGTAGTTAACCTCCTGCAGGGAAATTCAGAAGTCTTCACAGACCTGAAGTTTTTTGTTTTTTTTTCTTCTCCTAAGAGCAACTAGAGGGGTTTTCTGCCTATTTGCCTGGAGACAAAGGTGTTAGGGTTTTTTTTTAGGATTTCTCTGTAGGCTGACAATCACTATCAGAGAACACAGGTATCCAGACAGCACAGCAAAATTTTACAAGCCAAGTTTTTTTTTTTGTTTGTTTTCTTTCTAACTCTCGGGTGTAAAGTTAGTTAAAAACAGAGAGGTTAGGATGACAGACTCCACGGTTCAACAAAAGCTGGAATTAGCCAGATTTGAGGCTGAGGAAAAACAAAAGGAATATGAAAGACAGATAGAACTCATATGGAAAGAAATGGAGGCAAGGGAAAAAGAAAGGGAGGCTGCCTACAGGAGGGAAATGGAGGCAAGGGAAAAAGAAATGGAGGCAAGGGCCAAAGAAATGAAGGAGAAAGAAAAAGAGAGGAAGCATGCACTGGAGATGGAGAAGGCAAAGGCTCAGCAGAATATACCAACCAACCCTAGCAATCCTTCTCCAGGTACCACTTCCCATCCCAGAAAGTTCCCGATCTCCAAGGCAGGCGATGATACTGAGGCCTTCTTAGAAAACTTTGAAAGGGCCTGCCTTGGGTACAGCATCTCTACAGACCAATACATGGTAGAGCTGAGGCCCCAGCTCAGCGGACTCTTAGCTGAGGTGGTGGTTGAAATGCCTAAGGACCACATGAACGAGTATGAACTCTTTAAAACCAAGGCGAGAGTCAGAATGGGGCTAACACCCAAGCATTCCTGTCGGCGATTCAGAGCCCTAAGGTGGAAACCAGACATGTCATTTACCCGACATGCCTAACACATTGGAAAACATTGGGATGCCCTGGATATCAGGAGCAAGTGTTGAATCTCCAGTAAATTTGCCCTTCCTAATGCAAATGGAGCAGTTCTTAGAGGGTGTTCGTGAGGAAATAGAAAGATACATCCTAGATGGGAAGCCCAAAATTGTAATTGAGGCAGGGGAGGTTGGAGCCAAATGGGTGGAGGTGGCAGAAAAGAAAAAAAAACTGGTCATAGTTAGAGTGGATACCAGAAGGGACAACCCCAGACCACACCCTATTACTGGGGGCCACCCAAGGCCCCACCTACCCCCCAAGGAACCCTCCAGACACCTTATCGTCCCGCCACACCATTCTCCAGCAACCCCCCTCGCCCCAGTGACCCGTCAGCTGGACGATGTTTTAAATGTAACAAGCTGGGGCATATAAAGGCCAACTGCCCCAAGAACCCCAACAGATTACAGTTCATTGCACTGGAATCACCCCAGAGGTCCTCAGGCCCAGATATTCCCAGATACCCTTGGAGCGGAGGGAAACTGTGAGTGTGGGCGGGAAGAAGGTCACCGCGTGGAGGGACACCGGAGCACAAGTGTCAGCTATCCATGCTTCCTTAATGGACCCCAATTTAATCAACCCAGAGATCCAAGTGACGATTCAACCCTTCAAGTCCAACTCTTTCAATTTGCCGACAACCAAGTTGCCTGTCCAGTGCCAGGGCTGGTCAGGAATGTGGACTT